GTTGGGCATTTGTGGGGTAGGTTAGTGAAATGGGCTGGAGGGCAGCTTCAGTGACCCACAGGCCTGGGCCTGCTGCTTTTCTGAACATTGTACCATGAGAGTGCAAAGGCCCTTTGCAGTTACTTTGGTTTTTAAAAGTAACATTTTGTTATTATTACTAGTTTTTGAGACAGAATGTTGCTCTGTCACATACGCTGGAGTGCAGTTGCGTGGTCTCAGCTCACTGTAATCTCTGCTTCCCAAGTTCAAGCAATTCTTCATGCCTCAGCCTTCCAAGTAGCTGGGATTACAGGTGTGTGTCATCACACCTGGCCAATTTTTTGTATTTTTAGCAGAGACAGGGTTTCACCATGTTGGCCAGGCTGGTCTGAAACTCCTGGCCTCAAGTGATCCTCCCTTCTCGGCCTCCCAAAGTGCTGGGATTACATGTGTGAGCCACTGTACCCAGCCTTTTAGAAACTGACTTACTAAAGTTCCAAATCAAAAAATTAAATTTCATTAGGGGATTCACATGGCTCCGGAAAGGTACAAATGCAGTATTGGAATCCAGTCCCTCAGGAGGCCTCCAGAGCACTGCATCATTTATAAGCAATTCCCTTCACATTTTTTTTCTTTTCTTTTTCTTTTTTTTTTTTTTGAGAAAGAGCGTTGCTCTGCCAGACTGGAGTGCAGTGGTGCAATCTTGGCTCATTGCAACCTCTGCCTCCCAGGTTCAAGCAATTCTCCTGCCTTAGTCTCCCTAGTAGCTGGAATTACAGGTGCATGCCACCACACCTAGCTACTTTTTATATTTTTAGTAGAGATGGGGTTTCACCATGTTGGTCAGGCTGGTCTCGATCTCCTGACCTCAAGTGATCCACCTGCCTCAGCCTCCCAAAGTGCTGGGATTATAGGCATGAGCCACTGTGCCTGGCCATTCCCTTAACATTTTCAGTACATCTGAAATGTAACAGTTTGTTTTCTCTTTAAATGTTTGTCCTGAGGAGCACAACTTTGGTAGAATTCTAACAAGTCAATACAGAAGTTAGGTGAAGTCAGTTTTTGGATATTCCAGTACCGTCACTTTGGTCTTACCTCATGCCTTAGCCCAAGCTATGCCCACAGTGGGGTCCTAGATTCCCCTCCCCTCCCAGATTTCGCCTTTCCAGGGATGGGATCCCCAGAACCCTCAGGGGCCTGGGCAGCAGCCTCGCTAGCTCTCGCCTTCCTAGAAGCTGAGCAGGGGCTCTACTCCACAGCAGGGCAGGCTGCCCCAGATCCAGGGCTTGAGGCACAAGGGGACTCCCCAAGTAGCTGTGAAGCCGCAGGGCCAGGGCTGCGGCCAATAGGACACGTCCTGGCACTGCTCGGGGAGCTGACTCACAGCTCAGAAATCATTCAGTGATGTCCACACTTGGCCTTTGTTCATGACGCTGCTGCTTTTTCATGGCCTGAAATTGCAGCACACCCCCTTTTGTGCCCCGATCCCCTGCTAATTGTGATAGATGTATTGGTGATGGGACAGACTCACTTTCTCCACACACACAAGCCTGATGGCCAGCAGTGCCTAGCACTCGGGAACTTACCATCAGGACTCCCAGCCTCTGCTTGGACTCTCAATGCTGGTGGACTCACATTCTGACTAGGCATATCACCATCCAACTCTCAAAGGACAGCCTGTCCTCAGCAGGGCTTCCTCCCCTGTGACCCCACCCAGGACCTGTCTGTCCTTACTATTTTGCTGTGGCAGTGGCTCCCCCACTGGACACCAATACCACGCTCACAACCCTGCCTGAGAGGGTTAAACCCTGCAGGCTTCAGCTCTGTGCCCCTGCTGTGGGTGGCTGGGGAGCTCTGGCTAGCTGGGGGAAGTGGTTCTAGACTATGGTGGCTGTTCTGTCCTATGCCGGGCCCAGACCACCACCCCACCCACCCTCAAACAACCCCGGGCAGCTCTAGCCAAGGAACAAACCAGCCCCAAACTCAGAGGCTGAAACAGAGGCATGTTCGATGGGCCAGGGGCAGGCTGGATCAGCTGGTGCTTCTGCTGCTGGCCGTGCCTGTGTCCCACCTACACCTATGATCAGCTGGGGCCAGTGGGGCATAATAACCTCATTCACGGCCGGGGCAGTAAAGGAGACTGTGTCCTGTATCCAGTGTCCCACAGGCCAGCCCAGGCTTGACCGTGTGGTGGGCTCAGGCTTCCAGAAGTTCTGGATAGGGCAAGCCTCTGCTTGTGTCACTTCTGCTACCTCCCTGTTGGCCAAAGTGCCTCATGAGGCCAAGGCCAGATGCCAGGTGGAGTGAGCTGCTGCCCTAAGCTGGGAGGAGCGCAGTCACATGGCAGAGGCTGTGCACACCAGCAGGGGAGGGGGCTGCCAGCAGTGGCAGCCTGGCTCTAGGGTTCATGTCTTCGGGTTGAGGAAGGCACAAGCTGGAGATCAGGGCAATGTGGCAGAGGTGGGTGCCTGCTTTAGCTGGGTGGTCCCAACACCGGAACCCAGCCCAGGGATTGAGGGAAAGGGCCTATGGCTGATGGGTACTCTGGGAGCTTGAGCTGGGGTGGGTTGGGGGAGGGAGTGGGAAGCACAGCACAGGCCCCACCAGTCACCTGGGTCATGTGTGAGGAACAGGTAGAACTCGTCCCAGGGTGGGGGCCCCAGTGCTGTGCAGACCAGCTATGCCGGGATACCTGGATATAGGAAGCTGGAGATGAAACTTGAGAACTGTCACTACATGGATATTTCAAACCATGAGAATTTTTGTAAAACCCTGTAAGGGGTGGTGTCAGTACAGAGTTGAGGGCCCCCAACCCTATCTGAGCAGTGTCACATCTGTAATTTAGAATTTTTTTGTAGCTATGTTAAAAGATAAAATGAATTTCAGTAATACATTTTAAGTAGCCCAAAATATACAAAATATTGCCACTTCAAGTTGTATTCAAGTTGCTTTTAGAAAAGTGATGTGGCATTTTTGCATTATTTTACTACAAAGTCTAAATCCTGTGAGTATTTGACACTTGCAACACATCTCGATTCACAGCAGCCACCTTCCAAGGACTCAGGGGCTGGTGGCAGCCGTGTGGGACAGAGCAGCTGTGGGGATGGCACAGAGGAGTGCAAGGGCAGGGGCCGGAGCCCAGTCACCTCGCAGAACCCCGGAAGGACTTGAGGGAGGGATGGCAGGAGAGCCAAGGAGCTTCCCTGCCCCGTGGAGCAGGCTGCTGGGTGGGTCAGGGCCTCAGGAAGGGCTGCACTTCCAAGAAGGGAGGTGGAGGAGAGGTAAGGGTGGGGCTGGCAGGAAGGGGGCCTTGCTGGCTAAGGGCTGAGCCTCCCCAGGGAGAAGAGTAGGGCAACCCAGCAGAGTCCTGCTGGGAAGAGGACTCATTGGACAGAGCCTATACCCCAGCCCCACCTCACAGGCGATGAAGTCTGGAGAGTATAGATGGTGGACTTGGGGTGGCAGGACAGACTCAGAGCTGGGACAGAAGCCCTGTACCCCTGTACCAGTGGCAGTGTCCTGGAACTGGCCCTCAGCTCCTGGCTTCACCTGCACAGGATGGAGTAGCTGTAGCTGTGCCTGCACCCTGCTGGCCACCAGGTGTACTTTGGCCAGCTGCTAGGCATGTGTGATGACATCAGTTTCCTGCTGGGTGAGTGGGGCCCTCCCTGGTACGGAGGGGTGGGGTGCTGGGCCTGGGCCTCATGGCACATCTCTCCCCCATGCACGCCAGGCCGGCTAACCCGTGTCCAAGTATGTGCCCTATGGCCCGGTGATGGACGTGCTGCCCTACCCATTCCGCCGCACCCTGGAGAACAGCAGCCTCATGAAGTGTGCTTGTCTGGAGTGGCAGCTGCTATGGCTGGAGCTCTTGCAGTGGCTTCGAACTGGCAGCTTCTTCCATCACCCTGCCTAGCACCCGAGAGCCCACCCTTGGCCTCCAGGCAACCCAGCTGTGGCCTCCAGGGACCCTCACCCCTCCAGGCCATCACCACAGCTGCAGCCAACCCCATCCTCACACAGATTCACCTTTTTACACCCCACACTTCAGAGCTGCTAGATGTGGACCAGGTACCTCACAGTCCCACCCAGGGTGTGGGTCAAACCTGATACCTGCCTGGGAAAGCCGCTGGGAACTCTCCTCGGATGTGTGGGCCCAAGCCCCTACCTCCATGACCCACATGTCCTTGGACCTAGAGGATTGTCTGCCTTCTGCCAGGGGCAGCCCACAGAGCTCGAGCCCCTTGGGGAGCAGTAGCCAGGCTGGGGAGGCCTGCCTGGTCAATAAACCACTGTTCCTGCAGCTGAGAGCCCCTGCCCTCACACAGGGTCAGCTCTGGACAGCAAGAGGGAGGGGCTCAGACAAGGTCCCAGAAGTCTCAGTCCAGACTCTGGCCTCCAGCATCATCTGTTCCTGGAGGCTAGGCCCTGTGCAGACCTTGTCACCCAGGGTGCTGGACACCCCCAACCCTGACTCTACAACTCAGGATCCAGCAGGGCCCCTGGGCTCAGGGCAGCATGAAGGGGACTCATGCAGATGCAGAGGCCAAGCTCCCCAGGTGGGCCTGATACCCCCTCCCCCTGGGGCTCCTCCTGAGACCATTCCCTGGCATCCTGAGTCCTCCACACTCCCCGCCCCCCACTGCAACTATGACCTGCATCAGGCTCCTCCTAGTGGTTCCCACAGGACACTGACCAGGCTGCAGCAGGTACACACTCAGCCCCCTGCCTTCTCCCACACTCTCTAGCCCCCAGCCCCACGAAGCAGGCTTGATGTGGTCCTCAGGCCCTGGGGCTTGGGTGGAGTCCCCATGCAGATGGTAGTGACAGCATCCTGGGACCAGGGCTGGGACAGGAAAGGCCTGGAGGCTCCCAGTCTCCATGCAGGGGGAGGGATGGTGGGCTGGGCACACAGCCCAGGAAGGGACCCCCAGGCAGAGGCCTCTGCTGCAGCAGAGGTGGGGGCCCTACCAGGGCCCTGGTTATGGCAGAACCCACAGCTGTCACACAAGCCACATGCAGGCCACACTGAGGCATCTTTATGTCTCTGAGTCACACAGAGCTTGGGCCTCGAAGCCTCTTCTGCTTGGGGGCTGCAGCTGCCAAGGGAGTGGCTGAGACCAGAACAAGCACTCGGGTGGGCCCCAGTGCAGGTCGGGATGTGCTCCGTGGAGTGAAAAGGTGTGAGAAGCCCCAGGCCCACTCTGCCTGGCCCTGAGGCAGACAGTGGCAGGCTGGGCCCACCTCCCCTTTATGAGTCCATCCTAGCATTTGGCAGAAAGTCCCAGATGAAGGTGGGGGACAGGCAGTCAGGGTCCACCTGGCCTCTCCTCAGCAGGGGGACCCCTGCAGGCAGCTGCGAAGGCAGTGGCCAAAGGTCAAGAAGATGAACTCTGCCCAGCCTTCTGCTGCCTGTGGCTATGTTGGGACAGGGCTGCCTTCCTGGTCACATGGGCAGCAGGCGGCTGCCAGCAACCTCCCAGTCCCAGGGATGCCTTCCTTGCCTGGGAGCACCTCTGCTGCAGCTTCTGGATGAACTCCAGCAGGTTCATCTGCAGCATCAGCTCCTGGGATACAGAGGGGCCCTACGAGCATCAGAGTGACCCAGGCCCCTTTCACCCCAGCCTAGAGGTGCCAGGCAGTGAGCCCATGGGGCAACCATCCCGTGAAGCCAATCATGGCCTGCCAGTAAGGGGTGGAATCTGGGCCTCTGCCCCCAGCAGGGCTGCTCAGAATGGCATGTAGGAGGAGAGCAGAAGAGGGCCATGTGGGCCTGGGGAGGGTGGGTAGTGCCCCATGGTTGGCTGGCTCACCCTCCTGTAGGGAGTGGGCCCAGCCTCTGTGCTGGGAACAGCACAGAAATCCTTTCTGGAGTCTCAGTCCTTCCACTTCACCCCTATACTGTAAGCCTGGATTCCCAGGGACCAGTGGTGAAACCTCAGATGGAATGGGGTCTTCAGGGCTCAGGGGCACTCAGGCTAGGGCAGAGCAGGTCCAGGCACTGACCTGCAGGTTGGTGGTCACTTAGAAGCCAGCCACCTCTGCCTTCTCCAGTGTGCTCTGCTGGTCAGCCACCTTGCGGTCCAGCTCCAGGATGATCTTCCCGTCCATCGCCCACTGCTCCTCACGGATCAGGTGCTCCACCACCTTCTGTGGGTGGGGGAGGGTGAGGGCGGCTCAAACACAAGTGCCTGCTGCTGTCCCCAGTAGCACCAGCTCTGACACCACCGATGCATCCTTACCACACCCAGGCCTCTCCTTGGCCAGCCAAACCCTGAAGTGGGGCTTCAAGGGGCTTCCATGAATGGCCCGACTTGGGGCTGCCTTGGGACTGCACACGCATCTCTGCAGGCACCCACTGCCCCATGGCTTGTTGGTTAAATGCCAGTCTCCAGCTGTCCCTGTGCTCCCTGGGAGAAGGATGGGCCACTTCCTGGCTGGCTCCATTACCCCACCATTGCCCTTGTACCCCCGAGGCCACCTGCTCTGCAGAGGCCCCAATGCACAAGGAGCTGCTATCCAGGCGAGCACTGGTGGGCCTTCACCCTCCACCCAGCCCCAGCACACCTAGTGGGACTCACTAGGCCTCCAGTGGCCCATTCAGGCACAGGGTAGCCACCCACACCTGAGCCCCCCTGTACCCCTTAGCTCAGCCCAGTCAGCAGAGCCAGGTGGTACCCACAGGAGAGCTGGGCTGGCCACCCTGCCTGTGCCCCCAGTACCTCTAGTTATCGCTGCTGAGCTGCCTGGAGCACAGGCAGGTTGTGGGGCCAGCAGGCCTGCTGAGCTTCCTGGTGCTTCTGCCTCAGTGCCTGCCTGAGCACTGGAAGGATGACAGCCCATCAGCAGGTGGTGGGACTCGACAGCAGCCCTCACCCATGGGCACCTGCCCTGCTCCAAGCAGAGCAGCCAAGCCAAAGAGGTATCTGCACTGGAGAGGACGTCAAGCTCCTCCATCCTCCCAGGCCCACTGTTACCCAGGGCCGGGCCCTCCTCTGGCAGCAAGTCTCCAGGGGACTTCAGAAGGTGCAGGGCACTGAAAGAGGGTGGGGTGGGGAAGGCTAGGTGGGGCCAGAGCTGCAGTCCCAGACCCAGGGCAACTGGAGGCAGTGGGAGGGAGGGAGGCTGCAGTCTGAGGGCTTCAGGCCTCACATGGCTACAGGCCAGCAGTGCTGTGTGTGCTCTGCCCCATCATCCATGGGACATGTACTCAAGTGTCGGAGACCACCTCAGGCAAAGGCATGAGAAAGGATCCAAGAGATAAAGAAACAGGACACTGAAGAACTGGTGAAGAGCATCTGGACTGGGCCTGACTGTGGGGCCTCTGCATACCAGGAGTGTGGTCGGCCCCACCACCCTCAGTGCTGCCCTTCAGGGTGGGCAGCTCCCTCCCCCATTTGCAGCTCCCAGCCCCCCACAGCACCTGAGGGAGAAGGGTGGGCACAGACCTGGGAGGCCCAAGTTTGGGATGAACCTGGGGTGCCAAGAGGCTCTGGGCCAAGGATTCTGTGTGGCTCTGAGGGGCTCACCTTCGGCCACCAAGCAAAGCTCCATGGTCCCTGATGAACTGTGCATAAACACAGATGAGCGAAAACTGTCTAGTCTGAAGGGAATGTACAGACGAAGTGATCACGGGACACAAAGAAACCACCATGGCGAAAGGGAACATGCAGCACCCGGCAGCTAGCACCAGTGACCAGTAAGTGCCAAATGGCTACATCTCCCCAGGAAGCTGTCAACATTCCTGGGCTGAAAATCTTGGTCTCCAGGAATGCTGAAGACTCTTGGTGAACTGCTAAGCTGTTATGTGTATGTATTTAGGGATATCAAGAGCTATGGCAAAATGCTAACCATTGAACTTCTGGTGGAGAGCACAAGGGTATGCACTATACTATCTTTTCAGCTTTTCTAAATGTTTGAACTTTAAGAACTTTGGTAAAAATAAAACAGCATAGGTGGAAATCTGATGGTGCAGGGGGACCCGACCTGTGTAATTTGCAGGAAAGGGCTCCTAAGCCCACCAAGCATGCGGCTCAAATGGGAAACTGTTCGGGTTTGGAAGGGTGTCAAAAGGGACAGTGCTTAGGAATTTGATGTGCAACTGGTATGAGACCCTACGAGGCGTGAGAGGAAACTAACCCTGAAGAGCGCTGCACAGCTGTCAACAGACCTTCAACTACTGAGGGGCAACGCAGTTAGCGCCAGGCCAACCAAGCACCGAGGCCTAGGGCCATCCTGCTTGGAATGGGGTGGGGCACAGGAAAGCCCGAGCAGGCAGTTTTTGCTAAGAAGGGGGGCTGCACAACTGAAAACAAAACTGTTTGGACCCACTGGTCACCAAAAAGGCGCTCGGTCTCTGCGCCCTTGATTTTGTCAATCTAAGGGACCTCTTCCGAACACTCCAAAGGAAGGAGCCGATCTGCACAGATATCAAGAGCAGCCAGGACCCTCCAACTCGGAGGAGGAGGCGCCTCATCCCGCTGCCCCGGCTCACCTCGGTGCTCGTTCTGTAGGCGCAGGCGCTGGTTTTACAGGCTCTTTTAGGTGATGTGCTGGATCTCCAGTAGCCCCTGCACGATTTCGAACATGGTGTCGTCGAGAAGCGCCAGGGCCAAGTCGCTGAGCGTGGTGCAGGACAGGCGCTGCTGGCAGTTGCTGCGGGCAGGGGGTGCAAGGTGAGCGCCTGCGGGACTCAGGCTGGCTTGGCAGGCCGCCGCCCGCCCCGCCTGTGTACCTGGGCAACTCCTTCACCAGGCTCTGCAGCGCCCACAGCAGCTGGTAGTGTCGCTCTTGCTGCCGGGTACTGTCCGCCACCTCCTCCAAGGCGCCCGCTTTGCGTTCCATGACCTGGGTGTCCGCTAGTCGCCTGCTTCAGCGACGCACGCCCCGCCCCTTTTACGACAGTCACAGGGGCAGCGCGCCCCGCACCTTTTACGACAGTTTCGAGCACAGCGTGCCCGCCCGCCAGCCCCGCCCGCCCCTCCCTCCCCGCCGCGCGCCCCGCCCCCTGCGTCATTCAGAAGGAGGCGTGCCCAGCCCCCTCCGCGGAGGCTCTAAGGAGGGTTTCGCTCTGCCAGTGCTTGCACCTGCGTGCTCCCTGCACGACCTTACAGGTGGGACTCGTATCCCACAGAATCCCACAGGCCCTCGCTGAGTCAGTGCGGGCTGAGGTCCGGGCTCCGAGCCGGTGCGTCTGTGACGTCCAGGTCACTGGCCTTCCCCTGGAGGGAGGGGTCTCGGGCCAGGGCCCACAGGACCTGGGCCTAAGGCACTGTCTGGGGCGAGCAGTGGCGCCTCCGGGGATGAGACTGACAGGACCACCCTAGAGCCTCTGGGCCAGAACAGTCGGAGGCGCAGTCCCCATGTGGGGCTGCTCTGGTCGCCCTGGGCTGCCCGGCCTTCAGCCTGAACCTTCGAAACAGACTGCGCTCTCCCGGCTACTCGGGCCAGCTGCTGGGCCGGGGCTGGTGGGGGTTCTGGTGTTGGGGCTGAACCAGCAACCAACAGGCTTCAACAGGAGGGGTTCGGGTGGAGGAACGGCTCCAGCAAACGTCCTGCCAGAACCAGGTCAGGTGGATAGGCATGAGGACCAGTGTGGCCAAGCTGCGGAAGCCAGCCAGGGCGGGAGAGAAGGGCAGGGGGTGTGCATTGCAGAGGCTGCTGGGGGCTTGTCCAGAGAGCACCAGGGGACACGAAAGTGCTTGGGGACACAGAAATGATCAGGCTTGCATTTCAGCAGGCACTCTTTAGCTGCCTGTGTGGTGGCTGGGCTCTTTGAGATGACGCTGCTTTGACTGGGTCAGAAATTATGATCGATTTCCAGAGAGAACATTGGTTAGTGATTGGCTGTGGGAGGGTGGGGGCGTTGAGCCAACTGGGGTCCCCCTGAAGTGCCAGCGTGGTCTCTGGTTTTCCCCAGGATCTGTTTCCTCAGTCCCTGGCAGGATTCGCTCCCCTGTACTCTGTCTTTTTGATCCCTTCCAGCCAGAAACCAGAAGTGAATAAAGTGCCAACAAGCAGTCGGGCCACTGCCACTGCCGTGGAGGGTGGGCCACAACCGAGAGCTGGTCATGCGCCGGGCACCCTGCCCTCCAGGCCCCTCAGAGTGGCAGGAGCTGGAGGTGGGACAGCTTGTGGGAGCTGAGCCTGCAGCGAGTGGTAAGAGCCAGCTGGGGCTGAGCCTGGTCACACTGTCCCCTCCCCCAGAAGTCGTGGGTGGGATAAGCAGCTGGGTGAAGATGCCTGCCTGAAGATTTTCACCAGTGTTCCTGACCTCAGTCCCCCAGTCCATGCAGGGCGTGTGTGAGGACTGGGGCCTAAACAGGGCAGCCCCACGTGATAATGATTTATGCTGCGGCCGGCTGGGCACCCCTGTCGCGAGCTCCTCCTGGTTCTGCCAGGTGAGTTGGAGGCTGTGAGCCACAGCAGGAGCAGGCCAGGCCTGGGTTTGGACACCTGCTCCTCTGCCTTGTTTGGCCGCTGATGTAGGAAGGCCTCTTCTCCCACCCTTGGTGCAACTTCCGACCTGAACCAGCTTCCCCAGCCCCCCGAGCCCAGCAACAGCACTCCCCTAATGTGGATGTCAACCTAAAGAAAGAAATGGAACCACAATCCATATAGAGAGTTTGTCTGGGCCAAGGCTAAGAGAGCTGCCCAGGACGCCAAGGTGCCCTGGGAGTGCTCCATTCAGCCTTATTACCAGGAAGTGTTTCAAGACCGAAGGGGACAAGGAGTGGGCTGACATGAAGTCAGCAGGAATTCTGACTGGTTTCCAGAGAGAACCTTAGTGATGGGCTAGACAGTGTTGAACGACAGGGTAAGAGTTATGGTGTACAGCATGTGGCTTTTTATGTCAACCGGCATCAGTATGGAGCCCACAGAGCAAGTGGCTTCACGAGGTCTTTAGCTCAAGTGGGAGTTAGATGTGACTGCTGTCTCATTCCAGTGCCTCTCTGGGCCTGATAACTAAAGAGAGCTCAAATTCCTCAGATAAAAAGTTCCTTTTCTTTTTCATGGACATGAGCAATGGGTCACTCAGGTATGGGGACTCCTGGGCCATCTCTGGGTCTTCAGGCAGGGCCTGATCTGGAAAGAGGGGTCTCATCCCCTAGAGCCCCAGGGATGGGTGTGTAGGAATGGGGACACTGGTGCACAGACATGCGTGTCCCCTGTGTGTGTGGACACAGTGGGCCCCATGGCTCTTCATGTCAGGTGGTATCCACCGAAGGCCTTTGCTCTGAGGCCACTGTCCACCTCCACTTGGCCTCCCAAGTCTTCCCGGCTGGCTGGTGACAGCTTGGGTTAGTGTGGGGTGGCTGGTGTGTGTTGGGGGCTGCAGGTCCCTGGTCTGTGACACAGGTATGTCTAGGCAAGCACACCTAGCCTATGCTTTAAAGGGACGAGCACCTGTGTGTGTGTGTGTGTGTGTGTGTGTGTGTGTGTGTGTGTGTGTGCGCGCGCGCGCATGCGTGTACGCACGTGTGGCAAAAGGCTTTGCTGCATGGCTTTTGTGTGGGTCTGTCTTTGAGTGTCACATGTGCCTTTCTGTGTTTCTCTGTGAGTTTTCCTGTGTCAGGTTGGGTGTCCGTTGTGTGGGAGGAAAAATAGCTCTGCTGTGGGGCCTGGAGCCATTGCAGGATCACCAGCAACCATACAGAGGTGTGCACAGCAGCTGACCTAAGCCTGCTCCTCCCAGAACATCAGGCTGGACCCAGGCCCCACTCACTCCCTCTGTCTCCTGAGACTGTTCCTCACTGCCTGCCTCACTGGCCCTGGTAAGTGTGAGGCTCCCTGCCCCACCCGCACAACAGAGCTGCAGAAGAGGGCACCACCCACCTGCAGTGAGGAGGGGCTCCTCTGCAGTGGGTGTCCTGAAACACATGCTCTCTGACCCCTTTTGTTTCGGTGCTGTCCTTTTTAGTGTGTGGCATGAGGATGGCAGGGAGCTGCCATCTCAGGCTTCTCTTGTTTTTACTCTGTGAGTAATCAGCTCTGAATGAGAGGGGCTCATTGTGTCTTTATTGTCAAATCAGACAGGCCTTGGCCTTGGTGTGTCTTGTGCGTGCTTGGCAAATGTGTTGCCCACGGGGGCAGTGGAGGTCCAGCACCCTTTTAGAAGACAGCGCCTTGTGGACCAGTTACAAGTGGCAGTGCCTGGGCACAGCTCTCACCTAGGTGGTGTGGAATGGGAGGAGGGCGGGGCCTCCCACTGCCCCACCAGCAAGATGGGCAGTGCGGCCAGCTCCTCAGATCTGAGAACGTTTGCTCCGTGTTGATAAAATGTTGTGTTGGGTGGCAAGATTAGGACTGAGTTAGTGCTTGTTACCATCAGCAGTGTTTGTTGAGTCAAAGCAAATAGCCACTTACAATTGAGTGGGCTGAGTGTAGTGACTCACACCTGTAATCCCAGCAATTTGGAAGGCCAAGGTGGGCAGATGGCTTGAGGCCAGGAGTTCAAGACTAGAGTGAGAGCTTTTCTCTACAAAAATTTTTTAAAAAATTAGCTGGTGTAGGCTGGGCATGGGGGCTCATGCCTGTAATCCCAGCACTTTGGGAGGCTGAGGCTAGTGGATCACGAGGTCAAGAGATCGAGACCATCCCGGTCAACATGGTGAAACCTTATCTCTACTAAAAAATACAAAAATAGCTGGTGTTAGATACCTATAGACCCAGCTATTTGGGAGGCTGAGGCAGGAGAATTGCTTGGACCCAGGAGGCGGAGGTTGCAGTGAGCTGAGATGGCGCCACTGCACCCCAGCCTAGCAACAGAGCAAGACTCCATCTCAAAAAAAATATTAGCTGGTGTAGTCGCATGTGCCTGAAGTCCCAGCTACTTGGGAGGCTGAGGTGGGATCACTTGAGCCCGGGATGTCCAGGCTGCAGTGATCTGAGATTGCACCACTGCATTCCAGCCTGGGCAACAGAGCACGAACCAAATATAAGTAAGTAAGTAAGTAAATTTGTTCTTCCACCCATCCATCCACCCACCCCAGAGTGCATCAACCCACTCTGCTGCTGCGTTGCTCCTCCCTCACCAACAGAATTCCCTGTTTCCAGCCAGGAGATGATGGTCCACAGCCACTGCTAGAGTGGTGCCTCGTTAAAACTCTTTGGTTTGTGTTTCCACACAAAAGTGCTTAATTGCATTTGGGCAAAAAACTTGCAGTGAAGAGAGAAAAAGAGATGAAAGCAATCTGTGAGGGAGGCTCAGACCGATGTGTGGCGTGTGCTGTTGTGTGAGTGTGATGGGTGTGTTGGTTTGCACTGTCGATGCTCATGAAGTGAGGATGTGTGGAGTGCTGACTATACATGGTGCCTCTGCTGGATGACTGAGTAGAGGTCCTGAAACCATGCTGGTGGACTCACAGCCCTGAGTCCCTCAGGCACTCAGAGAGCAACCTGTGTCTTTTAGAGAGTAAAGAACTTTAGGCTCCTCACACCAAAGCTGCAAGTCCTATAAAAGCAGGTATGTTTGTTTTGCAGAAAAGAGGCCACATGCCATGGGCCTTTGCCCTGCATGCTTCAGACAGATCCGTGCCGTTGGGCCTTTCATGTCCCCTCCTGGAGATTGACCTGGTTATAGTGCTCTTTGGAAAAATGACAGGTGAGACCTTGCATGCCAGCCAGCCAGGTGGGAAGCAGAGCCCTGGTGGCGGCATGGGCCTGGTTGTTGAAGTGTTTGGTGATGAGGGGCCAAGGGGTCTTTGTTGTGCCAGAGACCCCCAATTGGTCACACTGATGGCTAGTTAGAGATAATGCAGGGGAGACCCTGGAAGTGCAGGAAAGCAGTCCACGCTCAAGAGTTGCTGCTCAGCCTCTGCACCACGGGAGAGTGAGATTGCTCCTTCTGACTGGAGGGTGTGAACATGG